ATCCTTGAAAATGGCTAAATTTATATCCGAAACGCTCCATAAAAAAAACAAAAAAACATTCGGACAGTTTTTTTTATAATTTCTCATCTGAAACGAAAAAAAAATTTAAGATCATATGAGAAATTGTATAAAATTAAATAAAAATAAACTTGTCTGTCGTATTCATTGAGATTATATATATATATATATATATATATATATATATATATATATATATATATATATATATTACTTACATGGTTGTGTGTGTCAGAATTGAAGCGCAGTTTGTAAAATAATGATTACCCACCCGGTGTCGCCTACTTGTATCGCTATCAAAAACGGTCCGTATATATAATACGCCATATATATCTTCAAGAATACCTTGTTCATTTTTAGAAAATAATTTTAAACTTTAAAATTTACAAATATAATAAACGGTGAAAATTCTTGTAATAATTCATTAGTCATCGAATGTATTTTTTTTAAATTCACATTATATCCTTAACTCATGTTATTTATGATATCAATTAAAATTCAATACAATTAAATAATTAGATATTTTAATGCAGTTTTTGTTTCGATTGAGGGTATATCTTGTGGAATTTGTTAAGAGCTTCAGAAATATATGTATACATATATATGCATATATAAATAATAAGAAAGAACAGTAAGATATATAATCCGATGTTCTTATAGATATTTTTTATTTTTACAAAATAGTGCTCAATGTAAATTTACAGAGCATTAATATTATAAATTAATTTATTTAAAATATGTTTTTCTGCTACACAGTTCTAACTATGTTTTTGATACATCTTTGAAACATGGTTAGAACTGTGTAGCGAAAAAAAACATATTTTAAAAATCAATTAATATTATATATATATATATATATATATATATATATATATATATATATATATATACACACATGATGATCCGGTAATTTTAGTAGGACAAGAAAGAAGGAATCTCAAATTACAGATTGGATAGATGAACTGCCAAGGTTTACTCAGAACCTCGAAAATTTACACAAAAATATTGTGCTTTAGAAACGTTTGCATTAAAGAAAATTTTGTTTGTAAAGAAGTTACATTTATGAGGACAATATACGGCCATTTTTCTTGGGAGTTTATAAATTGTACACTGTTCAATTATTAACGTAGACAACGAACTAATTTAAATTTTAAAATATATTCTTCATTATATGAAAATTACTGTAATTTCCAGCTTACAAAACCCATTTTTCCCCCAAAGGATACCCTGAAAATACGTGTGCCTCATCCAGGACGAATGAAAGGCAACGACCAAGCTCAAGTAAACTTGGACGGTCACCTAATTGGGTTAAATGATAGGGACGTGGATTTGAATTTTGATTCATTTCATTTTTATGTTAGCTATCTAATTCAGCCTTTTATATAATGTACCCTCAGTACTTAGCTGTTATAAGTACATACACGACAACAAACCTTCCTAGAGACGAGCCACAAGCTTAAACTTTCTATGATTACTAGCAGTGGCAGGAGCCTTTCTGCTCTTGAATATGTCAATGCCAATCGGACAAGAGACTGGAAACCCTATTTGTATTTAGCATTCGCGGACACAAACTTAACAACATAAGATAGACAGATAATACAATACTGATAGCAGACACAGAAAAGAAATTTCTATCCTCCTACAGAAGGTAGCGACGGAAAGTCTGAAGAAGGGACTAAGCTTAAGATTAGTAAGAGGAGCTCGAAATACGATTTTGCAGGTCGGGAACACAAGAATCAGGCAGACACGGAAGTTTAAATATCTGGGATGATTTTGACAGAGGAAAATAAGTGCAACACCGAGATCCGCAGACATATTGGGATGGCTAAGGACGCATTCCAAAAGCTAGGCAGAATATTGCGAGACAGGAGGATTTCTTTGGTAACAAAGAAAAGAATAATAAGCTGTTACGTGACGTCTGTCCTTCTCTACGGCAGAAATATTGGACAATTTCCTCATAGATGAAAAGACTCGAGGCGACGGAGATGTGCTTCTACAGAATGATGCTAAGTATATCATGGACCGAGCATATGAGCAACAATGAGGTTCTAGAGAGGATTCAAACACGGAGGAGGTTTATAATTAACACCAGGAAGAGGCAGCTGAATGAGGAAGGGGGGCCTGGAGAATCTGATATTCACGGGTCAAAGAGTGGGAAAGAGAAACAAGAAAAAACAACGCGTGACATACCTGTCTGGCTTAAGCAAGTGGATGACAGAATGTGGTCTGAGAGAGGAAGCAGAATGAAAGAACTTTTTTAGAACTGCAAGGGATAGAGAGACGTGGAGAACCATGACGCCCACGTCCTTAAAGGACATTGCACATAAAAAGAAAAGATAAATGTAAACAATACGGGGTGCATGTATGTGAGGGACGCATAGTTAATAAGATGCTGTACGAGAATGATTTATTTATTTATTTTTTTTTTTTAGAAATTGCTTTGCAATGTTATGGTGCGTCTTCCATGCCGGAAAATACCGTACTTACAATACACAACATATGACTTATAATACATTCTTTCTTGACGTCAATATTGGCGGAAAGAGGACATTAGTAATACTGTGAAACATGAAAAGGAAAAAAAAGTGAAAATACGAGCAGTTCTAATGAATTATAAAATATAGATCATAACTTAAATAAGAAAGAAGAAAAATGAAAACAAGAAACAGAGTGTGCAAAGAAAAAAAGAAACGAAAACATATCTAAAAACAAATATACAGGCTGACTTCAGAAAACCAAGCTGCAAAATATTTTGAAAAATGTATTATTCCAAACGAGACCGCATGATACTTGCAGTCACATAATATCGGTATAAGACAGAGCTGATATACACAGATTTTTTATTATTATCTGCCCTCAGATTTTTGACAATACAAGGAGTAGAACGATCATATTTACACAATTGGTTGCAATATTTTCGGTATTATTCAGCCGACCATCTGTGATCCAGCAGGCTATCGCTCAACGAAAGTCTGTCGTTTGTTTTGTTATTTGGCATCGAATGCATTGACGAGACGTAACGCTGTATCAGCGATTTCGTAAAAGAGCGTAGTTTTTGGTCAAAACCGGACCACCGTCCTCCGTCCGTTGATTTATTCATATACATTTTATAGATCTATTCAAGATTACTAGACGTAATTTTGATTGGCTGTTTTGGAATTGTGATGTTGGTTGATTTAGGTTTTGCTATGGGACATCTGATATGTACAGATGATATTGCCACCGGTTTCCCTCGAAAGCATTTAGACCCAGAGCCACAGGTTTACGGTTTAATGATGTGGTTACACAGCGAGAGTGGCATCTGATAAAGTCAGAAATAATTTTCAAAGAAGTACATTTTAGCTGTAATTGCTAAACGTACGTAGAATTTTTTGCGTGTGCACGCGCATATATATATATATATATATATATATATATATATATATATATATATATATATATAGTCTTAAGGTGTGCTATATTTATGGGATAAAGTGCTCAATATCAGAGATAGAGTGTGTGTAAATATAAAAGTGAACATAGAAGTCAGCACTTAGAGGCGACAGTCTGTTTCATGCTATATGCAATCGTCAGGCCTGACGATTGCATATAGCATGATGCAATTTTTTTTTTAACTCTGGTGTCTTAACATGTGATTAATTTTCCCTTTATTTTTCAATAAATACCATCACTTCATATGGCAACAGTATCATTGTAACAAAATTACAATATTTGTTGTGATGTTATAACATGCATATGTGATATTTTTTTAATAAATATTATTTACTCTATAAGAATAGTGTTTTTGGTTATCGGAATTTGATTCCATCTTTTTTTAAGCATTTCACCCCAAGCAAGAGAGTGGGAGCAAGACTAAAGAGAAGTGATTGAAGAATGGTTAGATAAGAATTAGAATTATATGAAGTTATAAGAAGATAACAATTGTCATTACATTTGAATATTTGAAGACTATATCTGTCAGAGAAGCAAGTAAGAGTAAGGGAGTTGTACAGACGGGAAGTACGAGACATGAAGCTCTTGAAGTAGATGAGACGGCTACATTTAACTGTTTCGACAGTGAAAGGTGTGGGACTGAGATATCAACATAGTAGCACGCTTAAATTCATGCAGTGTGGAAACCAGCGAAAATAGTTCGTCGAAGCAGTTACCGTGAAACTATTAGTAAAAAGACAGAGAGAAGCGACGGCATATCTGTGAGAAGGTGACTGTAGACCAGATGACAGACCAGGAACAACCAGATCCATCTCTGAATTTTTTCGAGACCTTTGCAATATATATATATATATATATATATATATATATATATATATATATATATATATATATATATATATATATATATATACATATATATATATATATATATATACATATATATATATATATATATATATATATATATATATATATATACATATATATATATATACGCATATATATATACATTTATATATATGTATACATATATATATATATATATATATAGACATATATATATATATATATATATATATATATATATATATATATATATACATATATATATATATAAATATATATATATATATATATATATACACATATATATATGTGTGTGTGTGTGTGTGTGTGTGTGTGTGTGTGTGTGTGTGTGTGTGTGTGTGTCTTGCATGGCATGTACGTAAGTGGTCAAGACTTTTTTTGTTACGTTATAGATTCCTCTCTCCAGGACCCTTTTTTTTTGTTACCAAACACGTCGTGGATTATCTCATATCTGCCTTGTTCAAAATTCGAATGGTAAGTGAGTTCGAATCCCATTTGCGTCTGAACCTCTGAACATTTGTCTCACACTTAAAGAAGCACGCTCAATAGCCGTCTGCACCCACACCGTACTCCCAGATAAACGCGTACTCGTACACATCTACCTCCGTATCTTTGAATGTATGAGTGTACATAAGAAAAACCTAAAATATCATTCACTTTCATGAACGCTTTTGAACAATTCAAAATGTTCTGCTAAATGATTGATTGCATATTTTGTTCTCTGTAATGTGAATTGGCGCAGACGCTATTTGAAGGTTTTGGCACGATTTCTCTTGGTCTACTGCCAGTGTTGATTGTAGGATCATTTTGCCATCAAATGCTTTCACCCAAGCAAATATTTTACCAGTTGGAAGGTCATTGTCTGGTGTTTTGTCCCTGGTGGACTCGTTGTCTCCCCACGGGCGCCAAACATCTAGTGGCGAGTTCAGTAAAGCAGCCACATGACAAAAAGTAAATAGTAACATGACTTTTAATGAGTCGACCATTATACTGAATTTACAAAATTGTTCCTTTTCATATCATATACGCTACTTACAGAGAGCGGCAACTTTTCCAGAGTCAAGGTTTCGAAATTCGCCTTTAAGTTTATTGTCTGATTATTTGATCCTCATGAGCTATCGTCTGGTATAGTCCAGTACGGAAATAAGTTAATATATATTAATCCACTGGTATTTGTAATTCTATGATGACTTTTTCTTAAATAATTGCCTAACGTAAAAATAAAGGTAAACTTTTTGGATGTATGTTTTCTGTCATTGTTCTTTTCGGAATTATTCTTCATTTATTGGTCATATGGTAGTTAGTAAAATGTTATGACAAATTAGATTTGTGTGTAACTATTTGAAATTCTATATTTGCCATATTAAAATTCTACTTGGTCTACCTGAAAATTAGGGGTGGTTTATAATCTTCGAGATTACCATAATTCCCCATGTAATATACATTTTTTTCTAAAAGCCAATAACCAAAATCAGGGGTGCGTATTATGCACAGTTACAAAGGTCTTTAAAAAATTGCCGTAAAATAAAACCAGAATTAGAATAATATGAAACGGTGGTCATAATGAAATTGGAGAGATATAATTTATAGGGTTTGGTTACCAAACAAAACATGCATATTATGCATGAGTAGAAGCATTGAGGTGTGCGTATTAGGGATGGAAGAGTATTATACATGAGCAATTCCGGTAATTATTAATGGTAATAAATCTTTAAATTTACGAAATTTACAGTATTGTCTAAAATTAATCTATTCTTAATAGGACAGCATTTATTTTGTCTAATGCGGTTTTCTAGATTACAATGAGAACAGATGTTCGATGGAATGTTTATTTTTATGAATTAATCGTTGTTCTAAAAATCTTGCCTTATCAAATCTAAATCGTCTAATATTTTTTGCGGGTATGTATTCAAATTTTTCACTATTTCTAAAACAATTTACACCGAAGTGAAAGGAGGCGAGTTGACCCAGGTATTTAAATTCATTACCGAATAAATATTCACTGATGCCTTCGTGAACGTAATAATATAAACGAAACAGCTTCTATGATTAAACCAAGAACATCGATTCCACTTATAAAGCAGATAACGTGAAGATAGCCCAAAACACTAATATCATATATATATATATATATATATATATACACTAGTTCCGTAGTCTTTAACAACACACGCCTTCAAAATGATAGCCTATATATATATATATATATATATATATATATATATATATATATATATATATATATATATATAGCCTTGAGCGCTTGGAGGGTGGGTAGACTGGAGATCAACGTGTTTTAGTGGACTCAGCAATTTTCAATCTGCTTGTCTGAATCATCTTCAACAAGCGAGAGCAAGAACTAAAATGTCAGCCAATCTAACAGTGATCTCATCTCACAATCCTCACACATGCTCATCCCCATACGTAGAAACCGACGGGAGAGTCCATTATTATTATCATTATTATTATTATTGTATATAAGCAAAATGTCATTATTAAGGCGTGTGTTGTTAAAGTCTACGGAACTTTTCTCGTTCAATAACCTTTTTTTCTGTTTTCATTGATTTCACTCATTTCATTCTTTTTTTTATATTTGGATCTAAGTTGTTGAAATAAGACCCTAGTCCATGGTATTTTGCGAGATCTTTCCGTTATGTTCAATCATCATCATATAACTTCAAAGTTCTTGACGTTTTCTGTTTGGCATACGAGTAGATGCCCTTGCAGTAAAGTAATATCAAGTTCATCCTTTGTTGAGTTCTTTGTAAGAGAACCGTCCTGATAGCGTTTCAGCACCAACTCTTCTGTCTGTATTTTTATAGAAATGTATTCACAGATGTATTTTTCAATAATTTATTTTCGTTATGGAATTTCCTTTTTATCGCCCTTTGTATAATTTTTCTGGTTAACAATTATTATTCATAATTTCTATTAGTTATTAAACTGTTTTATAGTGCAAAACACACGTGCGTGTTTGTGAATGTGTGTTTTAATACACACGCACACTGACACATACAGAAATAGATAGATAGATAGATAGATAGATAGATAACGAACAGACCTAGATAGATGAGGAATAGACCTTGACAGATAGATAGATAGATAGATAGATAGATAGATAGATAGATAGATAGATAACGAACAGACCTAGATAGATAAGGAATAGACCTTGACAGATAGATAGATAACGAACAGACCTAGATAGATAAGGCATAGACCAGGACAGATAGATAGATAAAGAACAGACCTAGATAGATAAGGAATAAACCTTGACAGATAGATAGATAACGAACATACCTAGATAGATAAGGAATAGACCTTGACAGATAGATAGATAGATAGATAGATAGATAATAAAGAACAGACCTAGATAAATGACGAATAGACCTTGACAGATAGAGAGATAGATAGATAGATAGATAGATAGATAGATAACGAATAGACCTAGATAGATAAAGATAGATGACAGATAGATAGATAAATAGATAACGAAACAGACCTAGATAGATAAGGAATAGACCTTGACAGATAGATAGATAGATAGATAGATAGATAGATAGATAATAAAAGAACAGACCTAGATAAATGACGAATAGACCTTGACAGATAGATAGATAGATAGATAGATAGATAGATAGATAGATAGATAGATAACGAACAGACCTAGATAGATAAGGAATAGACCTTGACAGATAGATAGATAAATAGATAACGAACATACCTAGATAGATAAGGAATAGACCTTGACAGATAGATAGATAGATAGATAGATAGATAGATAGATAGATAGATAATAAAGAACAGACCTAGATAAATGACGAATAGACCTTGACAGATAGATAGATAGATAGATAGATAGATAGATAGATAGATAGATAGATAACGAACAGACCTAGATAGATAAGGAATAGACCTTGACAGATAGATAGATAAATAGATAACGAACATACCTAGATAGATAAGGAATAGACCTTGACAGATAGATAGATAGATAGATAGATAGATAATAAAGAACAGATAGATAAATGACGAATAGACCTTGACAGATAGATAGATAGATAGATAGATAGATAACGAACAGACCAAGATAGATAGAATAGACCTTGACAGATAGATAGATAAATAGATATGGAACATACCTAGATAGATAAGGAATAGACCTTGACAGATAGATAGATAGATAGATAGATAGATAGATAGATAGAAAGAACAGATAGATAAATGACGAATAGACCTTTGACAGATAGATAGATAGATAGATAGATAGATAGACAGATAGATAGATAGATAGATAGATAGATAAATAGATAACGAACAGACCTAGATAGATAAGGAATAGACCTTGACAGATAGATAGATAGATAGATAGATAGATAGATAATAAAGAACAGACCTAGATAAATGACGAATAGACCTTGACAGATAGATAGATAGATAGATAGATAGATAGATAACGAACAGACCAAGATAGATAAGGAATAGACCTTGACAGATAGATAGATAAATAGATAAGGAACATACCTAGATAGATAAGGAATAGACCTTGACAGATAGATAGATAAATAGATAAGGAACATACCTAGATAGATAAGAATAGACCTTGACAGATAGATAGATAGATAGATAGATAGATAGATAGATAGATAGATAGATAAAGAACGGGCCTAGATAGATAAGGAATAGAATAGATAGATAGATAGATAGATAGATAGATAGATAGATAGATAGATAGATAGATAGATAGATAAAGAACGGGCCTAGATAGATAAGGAATAGACCTTGACAGATAGATAGATAGATAGATAGATAGATAGATAAATAGATAGATAGATAGATAATAAAGAACAGACCTAGATAAATGAAGGAATAGACCTTGACAGATCGATAGATAGATAGATAGATAGATAGATAGATAGATAACGAACAGACCAAGATAGATAAGGAATAGACCTTGACAGATAGATAGATAAATAGATAAGGAACATACCTAGATAGATAAGGAATAGACCTTGACAGATAGATAGATAGATAGATAGATAGATAGATAGATAGATAATAAAGAACAGACCTAGATAAATGACGAATAGACCTTGACAGATAGATAGATAGATAGATAGATAACGAACAGACCTAGATAGATAAGGAATAGACCTTGACAGATTAATAGATAGATAGATAGATAACGAACAGACCTAGATAAATGACGAATAGACCTTGACAGATAGATAGATAGATAGATAGATAACGAACAGACCTAGATAGATAAGGAATAGACCTTGACAGATTAATAGATAGATAGATAACGAACAGACCTAGATAAATAAGGAATAGACCTTGACAGATAGATAGATAGATAGATAGATAGATAGATAGATAGATAGATAAAGAACGGGCCTAGATAGATAAGGAATAGACCTTGACAGATAGATAGATAGATAGATAGATAAAGAACGGGCCTAGATAGATAAGGAATAGACCTTGACAGATAGATAGATAGATAAATAGATAGATAGATAACGAACAGACCTAGATAGATAAGGAATAGACCTTGATAGATCGATAGATAGATAGATAGATAGATAGATAACGAACAGACCTAGATAGATAAGGAATAGACCTTGATAGATAGATAGATAACGAACAGACCTAGATAGATAAGGAATCGACCTTGACAGATAGATAGATAGATAGATAGATAGATAGATAGATAGATAGATAGATAAAGAACGGGCCTAGATAGATAAGGAATAGACCTTGACAGATAGATAGATAGATAGATAGATAGATAGATAGATAGATAGATAACGAACAGACCTAGATAGATAAGGAATAGACCTTGACAGATCGATAGATAACGAACAGACATAGATAGATAAGGAATAGACTTTGACAGATAGATAGATAGATAGATAGATAGATAGATAACGAACAAACCTAGATAGATGAGGAATAGACCTTGATAGATCGATAGATAGATAGATAGATAACGAACAGACCTAGATAGATAAGGAATAGACCTTGACAGATAGATAGATAGCCAACATATTGAGAGAGATAGATACATAGAGAGATAGGTGCGCTTTGACAGGAAAAAGTGTAAGTTACATCTCAAGCACAAAATACAGCCTAGGAAGTTGCGAACGCTTTTGCAAGCATAGACTGGAAATGTTATGAATCCATATTTTCTCCTGTCGGTTCGTCAGACTGCCTTTTCTAGTTATGGCAACCCGTGTTGGGGAATAACAACTGAATTCAAAACCGGTTATCTATCAATCGTAAGTATGATCAACTCCAACACTTACAAAAATATTTATTAACTGTTCTTACGGTTGTTGCATTTAAAAAAAAAATCAACTTAATGGTTTGTTTTACAATTGGGAGTTACGAGAGATTTCAGTAGGACGGGGGTCTCTATAGATTTCGTAGTTGCCGAAAATTAGATTAAATATCCTCTAATTTCAGGTTTTTTGGTTCTCTTACACATACACACACTCACCCATATATATGTAGAGTGACTCTGCGTGTCAAACATGTAGTGTGACCTAAATTGAAAATGGCTAAATTTATAGCCCAGATAGAAAGAATATTCGAACAGTTTTTATATAATATATCATCTGAAAGTTAAAAAAATGTATTAAATCACATGGGAAATTTTATAAAAACAGGTTGTCTGTCGTATTCAATGAAATGTGCTTATATATATATATATATATATATATAGTGGCTATCGATTCACGATGCGAGTTTGACCACTACTGACATGTGCAGTCCATCAATTACACCCTCCCCTCAACACTATATTCATTTGTTGTGTGAACGACAATTGCTGCTAAAGCCAGACATCAATCTGCATTTCAGTATCAGGGGTGTGAGATATCCAGTTGATCTCAAGCACAGCCGAAGGTAGCTTTGACGAAAACGTTCCAGTATCTCCAAATGTATGCCGTAGACTACCCATGACTCACATGAATATAACAGAGATTAAATAACGCAAGCATTATATATTTTAATTTTTGTCTACTTTTTAATGCTGTACAAACTCTAAACACGGACCTTGAGTGCTATAAATGCATCGGAGGCCTTCTTAATCCGTAACGCTATCTCATCATCAAGAGAGCAGTGGCGGTTGATGGTGCTACTAAGGTATAAAAATTTATCTACTACTCCAAGTCGACTACCATAAACATAAATTGATGGCTCCATATACTGAATTCCTCGGGCATGTTGATTCATCGCCACTGTCTTGACAAGGCTTAGGGACAGTCCGAAAGCCTTACATGAGCCTGATAGTCGATACATGAATTCTTGTGCGTACTGAAATGTGTGTGCGCGACCAGGTCACGGTAATCAGCAGAGAAGGTTGCGCACTAAACTAAAAAGAAAAAGACTTTTGCCTTTACTGCAAACCTACATATGTAGAAAAGCTTGCCAGTTGATATGTATCATATAAAAACATCATGGAAATCCCCGAACGCATCACGCAGTACAATTGCAAATTAGATAGAAAACAGTGTAGAAGCCAGCTGATCTCGCTGCTTGGCTCCATTTTCAACCTTGATGGGGCCCGTAAGAATACCGCCAAAACTGACACAGGCTTCCATACCATCACGGAAAGACCTCAGAATCTTGAGAATGGGGGGGGGTGCAACCAAATTTTGAGAGGATTTTCCAAAGAGCAGCACGATTAACAGTAACAAAACCCTACCTCAGATCTACAAATATTTGATAAAGGTCCAGTTGTTGTTCACAGCTCTTTTCCAAAATTTGTCGTGCTGTTATATATATATATATATATATATATATATATATATATATATATATACATAGTCTAGTACTAATTGAAATAATAAATAAATATCTTAAAATATATCCCAGTGTGTTTGAAAAGTTTTAATTTCTTTATATTTTTTATTGTTCAAAACATATGTGTGTGTGTGTGTGTGTGTGTGTGAAAAGTCAGATAGAAATAAAATTATATAAATTGTTATGTAAAAGGACAAATAGGAATAAGGAAAAATACTTATCGCGTCAACGCGTTTCGTTCTCTGAAGGATTTTACCAAAGTAAATGTAAGGATTTTCTTTTGCAACAAGCATTTATAAATATCGTTATTTTTTTCAGAATATTTTTAAAATTAAAAAGGCCCATAAATATGCATGAGGGTTACACAGACATATACACGGGCGCGCGCACACACAAACACACACATACATATATATAATAACGTTTTCGTATGTATTTAAATCATTTGTGATTTCTGAAATATCGTATCTTTACGAGATATATATGATACATTATAACTATCTCTCTACATATATATCTACTAATATCTCTCTCTGTCTCTCCCACTTTCTCTCTCTGTCTCTCTCTATATATAGAGAGAGAGAAAAAGAGAGAGATTAGTAGATATATGTGTGAGTAATAAATTGGTATATCCTTAACCTGTCGATATTTGACCAGTTCAAATATCTGTTTTCGACAAGAATTTGTGAAGAGCTGAACTTACATGACTATTTCTCTAGCAACGAATTAATCAGTGCGAATAGTGTATCGTTTCAACCTAAGCAAAAATAACTCCGATGCCGGCCTCGTGTTAGATAATCACGGAAATGGCCGTTAGGGAATAGAAGGTCTCCGTTCTTAAAAGGTAAAGCGTTTATTCATCATTGATGACAACCAGAATTAAATTCGTTGTTTTCTTCCACTTGATAAGCACGGCTTCGGATATGGTCCACCTGCGTTACCAAGGATTGTGACAATCTAGTGAATACAAACTTAGTAAGGAAAAGATCTTTACAGGTCACGAGATTTCCACCTTAGATAAGTCTCTGATAGATAAATGGGCAAGAAAAAAGTGGAATATATATATATATATATATATATATATATATATATATATATATATATATATATAATTTATTCGAAAATCATAATAAAATCAGTATGTTGTTTCAACACTTCTGGTGTCTTATCAAGCGATGGTGTTGAATTCTATTTGCTCTATTCTGTATTAAGCACTCATTTAAGAATATTATGTCTATATAATTTATTCTGCTGCACACACAAAATCCTATATATATATATATATATATATATATATATATAAATTTGAATGTATATATATATAAATATATATATATATATATATATATATATATATATATATATATATATGCACACAAATATATATATAATATATAAATTATTTATATATATATATATATAAATTATATATATATATATATATATATATATATATATATATATATTATATATAAATTTGAATATATATATATAGATATATATAAATTTGAATATATATAATATACTAGTAGTAGAGCCGGCGTTGCCCGGGGATGTAACAGTAAGAGATATATCAAGTATGGACGATCATAAAGACTGAAAAATAAAAGTGACAAAGATTATTGTTTAAGGTTGACGGACACGCTTGTCTTAATTATTTTTTTTTTTTTTTTTTACGAATTGGTCAAACCCAAATTCAAACAAAAATATTGTTTACAATCGTTATGAGTTATGGAAATAATACAGTAATTCCATCTACGTTTTACGCGCGCGAGTTTTCCTCCTTCCTTCCACACTTGCGTGTGTGCGCGCGTCCACTGATTACACCCTTCCTTTCTCGTTAAGCTAAATATAGTAGTAAACCTTTTCTTTAGTTTTAAATAAGTAAGTTATTGTACTTTTATCAGCTCCTGTTGATATCTAACAAATTTAAATTACCGTTTTTCCCGCGTTTTTTCTGACGTCACGGACAAACTAATCGTTTGAGTTCAGTCGGGCTAAAAATTTCGATCCATGAAGTTGATTCATTTATCCCTCGTCAGTCAACCTTAAATACAGACAGGGATATCTTACTGACAACAAATAATTCTTCATCCCTTTTGGCTCGTCGCAAAAATTTTCTTCAAGACGATGCAACCAACAACAAATAAGTCTTCGTCCATTTTGGCTCGTCGTAAATAATTTTTAGCAGCAAATGCAATGCCTGATCCCAAAATCTGAGATGACTGAACTTTCTCACGACCGTGAACCTGAACAAAAAAGGGTATAAAAAAAAACAACACAAAACACTACACACACTTACAATACCCAAATCCACAGTAAGTAATTTTTTTATCTGTGCACATCTACACATCGTGTTAACGAGTTCCTTTTTCCAGAACTTAAAAAAAAAAAAAAATTTCCGGCCTTGTTCACCTTGCTATCCTATTTTGGCGCGGAACATTTTCCCTGATCTCATGCCACGAGATAATCTAATTGTTTTTCCATTTAATAAAAAAATTACACTTGTTTTGAAAAAAAAAAAAAAACAACTTTTCCCGCCTTGTTCACCTTGCTATCCTACCAAAAAAAAGTGAAGTTTTGTTGAAATCTGTTGAAAAATGTAAATAGCCTTTCTCTGTAATCTTTTACAATTTATGATTTTTACTTATTGAATACAGTAAAAAAATTGCATATTTTGCTTGTGGTGATTCATAATTAGAATTCTGATTTGAATATATTTTCCACTCGTTGTTTACAAAAATATTAACTTTATTTGGGTTTATTACTTTATTACAAGTACTGTGTTCTTTCCTTAATAATTATCATCTTCGAAATATTGTTGTTTTTTGTCTATCAGATTTCTTACGTCGGCATTTTTAAATTATTTCTTAATACTTTCTTTTAAATATTGAATTAATTTTAAATAGAACCAATGCCTTATTGATCTGCCTTGTAACAAATTGCAAAGGAATTGAAAAACGACCCTAAAGTACGTGGAATTATCTTTCCTATTTTATCAAATCGAAAAATGATTGATTATCTGTCCTTTTTTTTGACCAAAAAAAACAATATTTTTAACGAAAATTTCAGACGTGCGAAGAACGATTAAAAATGTAAAAAAAATACCCAAAAATACTTTGATTTCCTCTTTAATAATAATATGAACATTAGACGATAAAATTTTGTTTTCGTCAAGTTCGGCGTATTTTCATCATGCTATGGTCTTTTGTTTACATTTTCGTGGGTGAGTTGTCCCCCTTTCATTCTCACGATGTGTCA